ACGGGCGCGAGGCATTTATGCGCACATGCCCATGAGTGCGTGCGGTACTTGCATATGGGAATGCGGCTGCGTGTCTGTGTGCGCTTATAAACAAAAGGTAGAATAAAGCACATCTAAAGATTATACCTGGGTTATCTAACAAATGAATGTATGAATGTAACAGAAGTATGGGGAAAGAAACGAAAAATAATTGCCAATACTCGTTAAAGAAACAGGTGTAAATATAACACACGTGTTGCCAGATTTTATTTTAAATCTTGACCGAACGAGGATTGTGAAGAATTATTCTTTCTCACTTCCTTTTTCCCTTAAGACGCCGATTGTCGTAAGCCTGAAGTATTTACGTCTACCTGCAAATTGAAACCTTCTGCGAATAATCGTTTTCAGACGGTGGTTTGTCAATCAAAACTTAATTGCTGTGACAATTCGACACGTTGTCCTCGTTAATTCGTGTGGATCGGAGTGGAGCGAGAGTTGTGCGACCGGTCTTCGATTATCTACGCGGCGCGGCGGGCTGCGCCCTTCGAGATAAAGGTTCCCTGCTGGGAAGCGACCATTGTGAACGTTCGTCATTAAAAGGAACTTCATTAGTGGGCAAATAGTTCGTAAATTAACAATTTACATACATGCAGATGTCAAAACCCAATTTTAACATTACGCTTGACAATTATACACGGTGTTCCACCGCGGTGGGCTAAACTGACATCTTAACACGTTTCGGCCGAAAACGGCACTCCCGGTACATCGCTCTTCAGCGCCTCATATCTAATACTATTTGCGACAGAAAAATTTGACAGACATATTTTTGAAGTTTAAGACGTGCCCCTTTCCGACGGTGTCCATGAAATTCCTCCAAAAAATTTTTAATTATGAAAAAAAAGCAGTTTAAAAAAAAACGATTTTTTGCACATTTTTTTAAATCAAATTTTCAAGGGGTTTCCGGTCTGCAATGGACCTGGAACCTCACTAACCGGTGGAATAAATGGTTGAACTTTAAGTATACGTGGTTTAAAGATCGATTTTTTTGCCTTATGCGTTCAAAATGGCGCCTGAACTGCAAAATTTTTTAAAAAAGTAAAAATTCAAGAATTTTTTGTTGGAAAAAGATGCACTTTTACAAAAACGTGCTAAGAATAAAAAAGTTCTTAAAATCACTCAAGACACTTAAAGGCACTTGAATTTTTTCAAAAAATTTTGAGCAATTTTTTAGATTTTCCAAAATTGCTTAAAAAAATTCTGAAAAAATTCCAATGCATTGTTTGAATTGTTTGAATGATTTTAAGAATTTTATTCTTGACAATTTATAGTGAAAATGCATTGTTTTCGAGAAAAAAATTCTAAAGATCAAATTGGTATCGACATTTTTTTCTCGGAAACAATGCATTTTTACTATAAATTGTCAAGAATAAAAAAGTTCTTAAAAACACTAAATGCACTGGATTTTTTCAGAATTTTTTAAGCAATTTTTTAAATTTCGCAAAATCCAAAAAGTTGCTCAAAACATTTTGAAATCCAGTGCATTCTTTGAGTTAATTTTAAGAACTTTTTATTCATGACAATTTTTTGTAAAAGTGCATCATTTTCCAATAGAAAATTTTGAATTTTTACGCAAAAAATTTTGCAGTTCAGGCGCCATTTTGAATGCATAAGGGAAAAAAATCGATCTTTAAACCACGGTTACTTCCAGTTCAAACATTTATTCCACCGGTTAGTGAGGTTCCAGGTCCATTGCAGATCGGAAACCCCTTGAAAATTTGATTAAAAAAAATTTGCACAAAAATCGTGTTCTCTTTTTAAAACTGCTTTTTTTCATAGTTAATAATTTTTTGGGGAATTTCATGGACACCATCGGAAAGGCGCCGTCTTAAACTTTAAAAATATGTCCCTGTCAAATTTTTCTATCGCAAATAGTATTAGTTAGGAGGCGCTGAAGAGCGATGTACCGAGAGTGGCGTTTTCGGCCAAAACGGGTTAAAAAGTATGAATATTAAAACTATGAAAAGTTGACATGCTCTCTTTTAACTAAAATGATGTTAATTTGCTTATTTTAAATGGAGCATCCTGTATATACAGATTTTTTTTTTTTAATATCAGATATTTTATTATCTGCAATTTATTAAGGTGTGAAAGAAGATCCAATTTTGATAATTTATCGTGGGAGAATGAGAAGAGGAATCGGTTTTTTTTTTGAAGGGTTAATTAAACATGTATTGAACTATACAAAAAATTGCTATTTTCGTACAAAATGGAGGCGATATCTTTAAAAAACACCTTTTCAAAAAGTCCTCCACGGGCGGACAAATTTCTCCAAAAAGTTTTAGACCTGGAACGAAAAAACAAAAATTTTCTTAATTTACATATTATTGGCTAGAGAAGTACGTAGGGATTTTTTTTTAAATTGATTTTTGTAAAAACTGTGCACTAACGAAAAAAAAAAAATCGATTTTCGCCCTAAAAATTCAGCAGTAAATTTTTTATATAAAAAAAATTACATTCTATTAAAAAACGGCTACCTACTTTCGTGGAGAATATAATTGATAAGCTACTGTTAAAATTTCCAGTTCGAAAAAAGTCATTTTGAGATGTTTTAAAGTTTAAAATAATTTACACAATTTAGTGGCGGCAGGTGGAATTTGACGGCTCGTATTTTCGTAAGGGGGCATGGGGCCCACACCATAATTTAGGGCAGTGTTGGGCAGTAGCTAACCACTTGAGTAGCTAAGTACAATGACAGCTACTCGATTAAAAGTAACGTAGCTACAACTTTCAACCTTACTGCCTGTAGTAATTAGGTCTAAATACTGATTGGCAACTGCAAGCTACATCTTGAGTAGTTGCAAACAACAACTACAACTACTAGCTGTAGCTGCTTGCTGCAACTACTTTAATGGAAGCTACGGTAGCTGTAGTTTGAAATAACAGCTACAGCTAGTAGTTGTGAAAAATGTTGTTGCGGTGAACAGCTACAGCTAGTAGCTGTAGCTGTAGCTACAAGCAAACACCTACAACTACTCATGATTTAAGTACTCGAATCACCGAAAAATGGGGAAACCATAATGTATTATTAACAAACAAACTATATACATACAAGTTCTGTAAAGAGAGTTATCGAATTAGTTATGAGTGTTTGGAGAGTTATCGAATTAGTGATTATTAGTGAATTGCTTATGTAGTTTCAAATGTTTTGTAACGTTTGAAAATATAACTTTGAACTTTCAAAAATCTGTTCGCGCAGATATCAGAAATATGATGTACCTCTGAATCTGAAGAATATTTATTCATTAATCACTATAAAATCATCCATGATATCTATTTCACCATCATATTAATGTATATGGATAGGTATAGGTATAATGATTTGGCTACTTCGTGAGATGTAGTCTTGAAATAGTTTTGAGCGTCGATTACAAATCATATCTCGGATAGATATGATTTGTAATCGACGCGCAAAACAATTGCAAGACTACGAACTATACTACTCGTAGGTTCGTGTGTCAGATCATCTTCACATTGTGAGGACGTCTTAAGTGTGAAATGAGAGTCAAATAAGAGACAACTCTTATTTGACATTTTTCCAGTACGAAAGAAATGTAGCTGTAGTTCCTGCGTATAGCTACAGCTACAGCTACTAGCTGTAGCTGTTCGCCGCAACTACATTTTTCACAACTACTAGCTGTAGCTGTTATTTTAAGCTACAGCTACTGTAGCTTCCACAGAACTAGCTGTGGTGAACAACTTCAAGCTACTTAGTGTAGCTGTAGTTGCAAGTACATCCCAACTACAGTAGCTGTAGTTGAAGCTACATTTTGAAGCTACATACACATTGAAGCTACATACTAGACCTAAGTAGAAGGTTATATTGGCAAAAAATCTTCAGGGAAAACTTGCGAAAAATTGGCTGCCTCCGGGCAGATCTTGGAAACGACTTTTTTTTTTCATAATCGCCGACTAAATACAATTTTTTTTTATACTTGTGATTTTCTTGACATTTTGAGATCTGTAAAAGTTATGGTAATTGAATTTTTATTTCATCCCAACATTTCGCCTGTGAGATTTGAAAATAGTTGTATCTTTACGCAAAATAAGAATTTTGCAAAAATCACACGTATAAAATTTGTATTTACTCGGTGACTATGTAAAAAAATGTTATTTTAATTATATTTTGCAAAACCGTTTCCAAAATCTGCCCGGAGGCAGCCATTTTTGGAAAAAAATTCGCAAGTTTCCCCTGAAGATCTTTTACCATTATAGCCTTCTACTTAGGTCTAGTAATCACCCGCTAAAATATGGTGTGGGTCTCATGATTCCTTACGGAAATACGACCATACCAAATTCTACCGGCCGCCATTGTTATATATATATATGTGTATTACGGTATTTGCGCACCCTGGTGGACTTATGAGGAACCCGAAAGACCTTTTACTGTGTTGATAATAGGGTCACTTATTATTCTGAAAGGTTAAAGCAGTATAAAAGCAACAAATCCGACGAACACAGTCGCATCTCGCTCAGAGGTGGTGCGGCAAAATCGAGAATCACATCTTTTAATTTTTTTTTCTTATAAGACCAATTGCATATAATTTTTGATCCTAAAGTACATTTTAAGCCAAAAAAAAAAAAAAATCCCCTTAATAAATCCCTTAAATAAAAAAAAATGTTTGTGAAACTTCCTAAAATGAGATTTTTTGCTGTAAAAACAAACAAAAAAATATATCAAAAACAGTTTATCAGTTTTTACTAAACGATTTGAATTTTACTAAATTTATATAAGAAACCGAAACATTTTTTTTTAATTCAGATTTCTGTTCATGACCGTTCCTCGGTATTGGTAATCTAATCTCTCTGGAAGGTGAATTAGTATTTGATAATTTGATGTACTGTAAAGGCAATAAAATAAATCAATAAATGTTATAGCCCGATAAAATAATAAAACTTTATTGTCACTTTATTGTCTTTAAATAGTTAATTTAGGAAAAAATACACATTTTTTTGCGTACCAAGGCTCAATGGTCTAGGGGTTTGATTCTCGCTTTGGGTGCGAGAGGTCCTGGGTTCAAATCCCGGTTGAGCCCTCTTTTTGCCAATTTCCACTAATTAAACGGGTAACTATGTACCTAATTATCAGTTCAAAATTCAATTCAAGATGACATCAATAATTTTAAAAATTACTTCATGCTATTATAATTTTGAAAAATATAATTGTAATGAAATCAAATAATTCAAGTACATATCTGTATATCTTACCTTGGTGGTTTGCGTAGTTATACATTCAAATAAAAATAAATAGAAAATACATTTTTCAACTGAATGAACTTTTATGAATTAAAAATACGGTCCTGACATTTTGAAATTCTGACTAATGCTGATTGACCTCAGACGACTGATATTCGATAATATAGGACGGTACATCTTATTATGTGTTACTTGAGAGCTCATTTGTATATTTTTGGATTGTGTTTATTTTATATTTTCTTTAGATATTTTTAAGGTAGATAATATATCACAAAAAAACACAAAGAAATCAAATATGGCGGCTCAATGGTCTAGGGGTATGATTCTCGCTTTGGGTGTGAGAGGTCCCGGGTTCAAATCCCGGTTGAGCCCATTTTTTTGACCGTAGAGCTAAAGTAAATCAAAATTTTCCTAATACGGTCCTGGAATTTTTTAAATAGTAAGTAAAAACTGTCCCAGAATAGAACGGTACATCTCATTATGTGTTACTGGAGAGCTCATTTATATATTTTTGAATTATGTATATTTTATACATTCTTTAGATATTTTTTAAATAGAAAATATATCACAAAAAATACAAAGAAATCAAATATGGCGGCTCAATGGTCTAGGGGTATGATTCTCGCTTTGGGTGTGAGAGGTCCCGGGTTCAAATCCCGGTTGAGCCCATTTTTTTGACCGTAGAGCTAAAGTAATTCAAAATTTTCCTAATACGGTCCTGGATTTTTTTTAAATATGAAGTAAAAACTGTGTCCCAGAATAGAACGGTACATCTTCTCACTATGTGTTACTGGAGAGCTCATTTATATATATTTGAATTATGTATATTTTATACATTCTTTAGATATTTTTTAAATAGAAAATATATCACAAAAAATACAAAGAAATCAAATATGGCGGCTCAATGGTCTAGGGGTATGATTCTCGCTTTGGGTGTGAGAGGTCCCGGGTTCAAATCCCGGTTGAGCCCATTTTTTGACCGTAGAGCTAAAATGAATTAAAATTTTCCTAATACGGTCCTAGAATTTTGAAAATATTAAAAACTATATCCCAGAATAGAACGGTATATCTTTTCATTATGCGTTACTGGAGAGCTCATTTATATATTTTTGGATTATCTTTATGTTATATTTTCTTTAGATATTTTTTAATTCAATAAAATATCACAAAAAAAAAAACACAAACAAATCACATATGGCGGCTCAATGGTCTAGGGGTATGATTCTCGCTTTGGGTGTGAGAGGTCCCGGGTTCAAATCCCGGTTGAGCCCATTTTTTTGACCGTAGAGCTAAAATAATTAAAAATTTTCCTAATACGGTCCTGGAATTGTTAAAATTTTAAGGAAACAGAATAGTTAATAAGTTAATAATTAGGTGTCACAGAATAGAATTATTTTATACATTCTTTAGATATTTTTTGTGTAAAAGAAACAGTATTTTCCGGACGTATTACCTAAATTACTATATTGTAACTTAAACAACTTTTACCATGATTTTTTTTCGACCCTTGCGGTTTGTTTTTCCCCATTCATCTATAGCGTGAACTTCCAGGAACAAGCGCTGTTTTATTCTTTGTCCCGCGTAGAGCTTTGTTTGCCCTAATGTTCTCCAGTTTTCCGGGCAAAGTTGTCAAATACGTTAGAAGCCCGGATTCTGGTGACCCACTTTCGAAATGTTACAGGTTACGAGGTTACCGAGTGCAGTTCGGAACGTTGCACCTGCTTTGAACAGGAACGCCGATTGCATTCGCAATTGCTGCAGCGTTCGTGCTCCTACGCATTTGTCCTAATTCAAAGTCATCAGTGGAGTTGGCCGAAATATAATATAATAATAATACTCACCCTATAATTACTCCGAAGAGTAACCCCAGAGGTCCTCTCAGGGATCTGTGCGGGGAAGGGGTGGCTATTATTATTATTTGCCATGGTGCACTGGGAGCGACTTATGATTATTTCGGTAACGCATTTGCTTTACAGTTCTGAGGAAACCCAGAAAAACTCAGAACATTACCAAATCTAGGGCATACTAGTCCACACCTATACTAGTGTATAGGTGTGGATGCATAGATGAATATGTCGAGGGACATATTCATCTGGGCGTACGCACCATAATATAATACATGTAATACGAGAAAATAACTAATTGAAATAAATCAACAAAATCAATAAAAATACAGTTTATAATGTATGTAAAACCCTATTAATTAGTTTGATGACGTAGACAAGAGAAGATTAATAGCTATTGCTTAGATTGAATTGTAAAATAATATCCTGGAGTGGGTACTGGAACCTGTAAAAACAAAAAACTGGACGTTTTTCACGAAACACCGAACTATTATACTTTTCTCGACGCGCGTTTCGCCAACTAAGTTGGCATTTTCAGGAGAAGATTAAAACTAAATTCTAACCTACGCACTATTTATACTAAAGTTGTTGCCGCGGTTCACTGAACCGTAACATTTGTGGGTATCGGACCATTGTCCTTATTAATACTACTGTTACACTTAAGGATTTCTAAACTTTCGAAAGCATCCAACTGTCTAACTGTTATATTTCTAATTAATTTTAAATTATTTCTGTCTATCCTATGATTGTTGTCAAAAGCGTGTTGGGCAACACAAGATTTTTCCGTTCTACCATATTTTAAATGAGCCATGTGTTCTTTGAAATCTAGTCAAAATAGTCTCTTTTTGTTTGCCCAATATACTTTTGATCACAGTCTTTACAACTTATTTCGTATATTCCTGACTTTTCGTTATTGTTGACTTTGTCTTTGGGGTTACCCAAAAGCGTCTGCAGTTTATTTTTAAAAATAAACACTTTTATTCCACTTAGCAAGTCACTGCGTACAGTTGGTACTTACGTAACGTTGTGTGACTTGGTAACGGCATCTCTAGAACGTATTTGCTTCAGAGCTATATATCATAAAATAAGTCTTCGAAATCACCGATAAATTTATTCGCTTTGTTAGCAAATGGCAGTTTTTTTAGGCGTTTCGTTTTAAGCGTTTCGTAATACCGACGCCGATGACATAAACACCTCGAGCACGCTAATAATAATGCTAGAGTCTACCAGACATCAAAATTTTGACAAATACGTCGGGAGAAATGATAGGACATCTGTCTAATTGAATTTAGAAAATCCGGCAACTAATTCGTAAGCGACTCTAAAAACTCTTGGATATCAAGTTTCAATGAATGAGATTACATCGAAATTCATAATCACAATGTATAACACTTTTTTGTCTACTTGGGCCATTCCTGCAATGTTCCCACAGCTTCCAGGGCAAACAATTTATATTTTCAGTCAACTGGAGATCTGTATAACTATTTTTTAATTAATGAAAGGAAATTAACAACAAAAATTACTAATTTAAATACTCAAACTGTGCACCATACAAGCTGTGTACAGCATTAAAAAACGCTCAACAAATCTTGTTAACATTATCAATTAAAAAACTAGTACAATTTTTGAGATTCTCAAATATGGCGAATGCGCTGGTGATTTTAAGTACAAACGTCAGAAAAGTGGATTTCATACAAAATGAGGTATTTTTTTGTAAAATCTCATGTGTAAAGTATATACTATGACACAGAATCATAGTATAACCCTTTATTTTGTGTAAACCTTGATACACTCAATTTATTGACTTCAAATTCAAATCATTTTATAATCACAATAAATGCCAACTTTTGATTATAAACAACATTTGTACTATGTAATGCCATAATTTTATATAGAGACATCCAAAAAAAAGTCATCAAAGCTGGCTGAGAAAAAAAACGTATTTCTATTTGAAATCGAATTTATAACCTTAATTACATACCAAGACTGTCACATAATATGATAGCCATTGTTTATTTTACAAATTGTGACAGTCACTTGTCAAAAATTTGACATAATCGAAAATATTCGACATGACCGCTATTTCCATCTCTCTCGTTCATGTTGATGACGGTTTTTTTAGATGTCTCTATACCAATAATGTGATAATAATTTAGTTAAATGTTACCACAACAACGTAATAACTGCATACAAATTTTAACATGTGTGTTTTATTTATTTTCAAATATCAAACATAGACAATTAAATTTTTCAACTACCTACTAGATTTACAGGATATTCCATTCAAAATAACGTAGTTTTTAAGGTTTAAAGATGAATAATTTCAAAAAGTTACAGACGACACCCTGTATAACAAAAATTGAAGATGAATGTTGCAATAAGCAATGCCTGTTTTACTGTTAACATGTGTTAAATTACAATTCCGTGAATTATGTAGAAACAGTCTTATATGTAGGTTTTTGAATACAGTAGTTTTTTTTTCAACATAAAATTGGAATATCTGTGGGCAATTTAGCGACCTTCTTCTCTGTTAGTTTTTTGGTTAGTTGGATTAGGTCCAGGAATAAATAACAAACTATTTGATTTGTCCAACGTTTCGGAGCTTTATTTCTTCTTCATCAGGGCTCAATAAATGTTGTTATTGCTGTCATGTAAGGTGGTAAATTACGAACATTGGCGGTACTATCTATATACATATGTAGCAAATGTACAAAGATAAAGACAAAACACTATTTTCAGGACAACACACTTTAAAAATTACTAATAATTACTATAGTAATTTTTAAAGTGTGTTAAAAATGTTTGTGTTGTATGTTTATGTATGTTAAGTGTTTAAAGTGTGTTGTCCTGAAAATAGTGTTTTGTTTTTATCTTTGTACATTTGCTACATATGTATATATATATAGTACCGCCAATGTTCGTAATTTACCACCTTACATGACAGCAATAACAACATTGATTGAGCCCTGATGAAAGAGAAATAAAGCTCCGAAACG